GTGAATTCCTACTCAAACCCTATCTTTTCTAGCTTGACACTCTCCTAGAGCTGGTGTCTGGAAAGGGTCAAGCCACCACCAAACACCAACACCCGCCGGGACCCAACATGCATAATCCCAAAACGACCTATATCCTATGACTAAGCTACATTCTAAAACTAGCATACAAATCAGAGATTAAAGGAATAATGCTTACTTGACTAGAAGAGTGGTTGGAGTTGATTCGAAGAGAGTTGGTGACGGCGGCGACGACGACGACGATGGAGAGAACTCTCTGAAGACAGAAAAAAAGTTGAGAGGAAAGTGAGAGCGAAATGAACAAATGAGCTACACTTCTCCCTATTTATAATTCCTAGAATGGATAAGCGTGTCGTCACCTAGGCTCTCGAGTACCCCTACTCATAAGTCGTCATAGGCATTTAATAATTCTAACACATGGTCCGAAGAGGCGTAAAGTTTGTCCTTTCAAGTCCCATCATGTTACTCGAGGAGACAACGCGTCTGCCTCTTTAAGTCCCCTCACGTGTCTCGAGGAGACGACGCGTTTGTCTCTTCGAGTCCCATCAATCTACCAGACTTCGAGGTGTCAGGCACCCATTCATAAACATAGCCTCGACAAACCTTCGCAAACACTCGCGAGCACAGCCTCAGCGAAATTTTCGCACACATTCGCGAGTGCAGCCTCAGTGATATTTTGAAGCAAACTCACGAGCAACTTAACATCTCGTGAGCAGAAATCTAACACTCAACGCGATCGCATGTCATGTCCTCGACCTCAGACCCTGCACGACACTTCCTCCTCAAAAGAAAAATTTAACGAGCAATGCGTCGTACCCATGGGATCCCTAACGAAGGCTCTCCTTGCGCAGAGTTAAGTTCTCATCCTCGACACATGGACTGACTAAGTCATTGACCTCATAGTTGGGGGGCAACGACTTGGGGGCTCCTGTTCTAGATTGGACTTGTGGTTGACCCAACATCGAGCACGACCCAATCCAGTGCTATGTCGAGGACGACTCAGAAGGCTGACCCAATCCACTAGGGACAGTAGAAGACAATTTCCAACGTGCTCTTCACCCGAGGACACGTCATCAACTAGGTCTGCACATCTCGTGGAACCAGTCTGCGCTACGTAACGGGAAAGTATACACATTATCCCACTATCCAAAAAATGCGGAGCAGTTGACACAGGATGATGAGCATGAGCTGCTCATCCCTACCTACACGTAGGAATCCTGGCAGTCATCAGTTATGGATCTGGTCACTCAGCCCATAATGGAGAACGTTGGCCCAACACTGGGGACACTTTATAAATACCCTCATCTACAGAAGGGTTAGGTATTTTGTTATACTCTATTCTCTACTCTTGCTATCTCTTCACTCGACTAACTTAAGTATCAGAGTGTCTGCAAGTACACCCCCTCCTCCGCTCTTGTTGACCGTTGTTGCTACAGAAGTTTACCGACTATGTTCTGATCCACACGTTAGATCAAAAAGCTATTTTAAATAGCTTTTGAAAAAAAAGAGATAAAAGCCAGTAAAAAAACCACAAATTAAAAGTTAAAAGACAATTATCAAACAATTTTTTTTACAAATATAAATAAAAAAACTATAAAGCTCTTTTTTTTTTATGTCTTAAATCAATCATTGTAGTTGAAAAAGTCTTCTAAATTTCCTCCACAAAACCGTGAATCATAAGTAACAAACAAAATAACAAGATTTATTGTGAGGGTAATTTCCTACACAAAACCGTGAATCACAAGTAACAAACAAAATAACAAGATTTATTGTGAGGGTTAGTTGGCTTTTCCCACATCTGAAATGCCATTGGTTGATCCAGCGGCCATATTAATTTATTCTCAAGTCATTCTCTTCTCCCATACCATACCATGCCCACCCTATCCCTTCTCACTCCATCTCTCTCTCTCTATACCCCTTAATTATTGGGATCATCTCTGCTTTTTCCAACTATTGTGGTTGTCATTTTTATTTTAAAATAGAAACTTATTGATTAATATACCTATATAAGGTTTTCTTTATATCATTAACATACTTTAAAAAATGGTAGTCGAAAATAGAATTATTATTGACACATTGTTTAACCTTAGCTGAATTTGAAGTATTCTTTTTATAAAGTTTGTTTATGATTTGTGTTAGGTATATTTTCAATTAAGATTAAGAATTGATCAATTGAGATACTTAAATTAATTAATACCTTTAAACTTAATGACTAAGTTGTTACTATTTTATAGGATTACAAAATTTTAATTCACTTCAATTATTTTATTTTATTTTCTTGTAAATATTCAAACTTCCGACTTTTTTTTTTCGACTACCATTTTTTAAAGTATGTTAATGATATAAAGATTTTACTATTTTTAAGCTATTGCTAATATTTATTAGGGAATTTTTCTAAAAAAGAAAATATATATTTTAATTTTAATTAAATAATCTATAACATATATAAAGAGAAAATTTGAATTTGTGATAGCTTATTTTTATTTTAAGTATACTCTTTTACTTTTTAATTTAAAATTTAACTTTTTTTATTAACTTCTATTTTATTAACTGTTATATAGTAGTTTGCACAACTATTTTATTTAAATTTTTATATAAAATTTAAATTAAAAAAAAATACACAAAAAATAGGTTTATATTTTTAAAAATCTGAACATTAAAAAAACAAACAGACGGGTATGGAACGAGAGTGTCCGTGTAAACGTTAGTGTAAAGATAAAAGCAAAACATAATAGAGAATGTAGAGATAAAATAGATTATTATTAATTTGAAAGACTCAAATCTACCTATTTGAATCAATTCCGTGTTGTTATTATTTTTTAATTCACAGATGAAATGGTAATAATTATTGAAAATTCACTTATACAATTGTAAAAATTGAGATTTAAATTTTGATAGATGATATTGAACTTAGCAATATGATTTATGTCAATTGAATTAGGATTTAGAAACCATCATGTATTATTTTCTATTGCACTTTTTTAAAATATAAAAAATATTTATTTTAGACACACATTCATATAAAAAATCAAGACAAATGAAAATCGAAAATAATTTTTTTTAATAGGGAGAGAGAGTAAAAATTTTATAGACTTTGAATATTTAAACCAATAAAATTCTCATGTGCGATTAAAATAATAAATGATGTAATGGATTAAAATTTTTTTGTTAAAATAATTGAAATTTTCAAAAATATTTTTCAAACAACCAAAATTTTCTATTATTTCCTAAAGTAATCATGTTTTAAATAAAAAATGGTATTACAGATAATGCATCAGATGAATTGACGACAATTGAATTGACGACTGCATATCATGTCGTCAATCTAATTGACGACTACATATCATGCCGTCAATCTAATTGACAATTGTCTGTTGCATTAAGAAGGGGACATCAATTCATTCGACACCTCATTATACTTTTTATAATTAAAACATTAAACTATTAAAAAGAAGAATAAAGTTAATATTTAATTTTAATATGATTACATACGATAATATCTTTTACACTAACGACGACGATCAATTTTATTATACATGCCACCAGTTCCACACCCCTTAGGACCCTTTCTTGTACCGGTCTTTGTTGATTCACCAAATGTGTTTGATGTGAGGTCCTTGGAACATCATCATCAACATATTTCCTAATAAATTATTGTAATTCAAAATAGTCTTGAGTCTGCATCAACGCGTTGTCGTAACTGAGTTTGTGGCCCACGACAGCGTAATTGGGTTGTGTTAACGAGGCTATGAGTGAACGCCTTGATCAATTGAATGCTGATGTAAATGATTCATTGGAGAAAGTAAGAAATGATTGTTGTGGCGTTTGGTAGCCATATGGTTGTTGCATGTTTTAGTGTTATTATCTAACAAGTTAACACCCAAAAGTCCCTCACATATTGTATTTGCGAAGTTAGTTTTTTATTGACCACCTTACCCTCAATAAGTAGACCCAGTAACATGTACACGTCCTATAGTGTTATGGTACGTTCACCGATTGGTTATGAGTTTGAGTGCTTGCGGGTCAGTAATTTTGTTTGGTGGGGGGTTGTGTGTAAGTGATATGGTAATTTTGTTAGGGGTTAAATGTAAAAGTTTCTTGTGTGTAAGTGGTTTGACATGGGTCATATAAATACTCATCTTTGAAGAAAAACCTAATTGTAACCGACATGTAGCAATACATATAATTATTAGTTAGTTTAGATTCGGTTTGGCATGATAACATCAGTTAAGACTCGTTGATGACAACGCCTCCATTAATAACATTTAGCCTTAATGAAGTATTTTCAATCAGAAAATGTCGATTGTTATAACTTTACATTGATTCCATTGTACGAGTCGCGTCAACAAAGATCTATTGTTCATTAACTTTACATTGACCAAGTCAATCGTCGTAATTATATTTAAATTAAATAATAACTTTTATTCATTTTTTTTATATAGTTTATTGTTTTGATTTATAAAAAAAATATTACACTGAAGCGTTAGATGAATTGACGCTTCCTACTATGCATAATACACTGTCGCCAATCAGATTGACTATTTGATATTCAGTCGCTAATTCAATTGACGTCCTCTCTATTTTAAGAAAATGTGATAAATAAAAGAGAGAATAATAATTTTACCAGACTATCCTTTTTAAATAGAGAGGACGTCAATTGAATTAATGACTGAATATCAAATAATCAATCTGATTGGGGCCAGTGTATTATGCATGATAGGAAGGGTAAATATTTTTTTATAAATAAAAATAATAAATTATATAAAAAATGAATAAAATTATTATTTAAAAATTTATAGATTTTGAATATAATAACCAATAAAATTCTAGGGTATAATAAAAATAATATATGATGATAATGGCTAGCGCTTTTATTATAATAGTTGTGGATCAAGACAAACTATTCTCAGCACCAAACCAAAATCCTCACAATCCAAGAAAACTCCCATCTCCGCCTTCCTTTCTCCTCCCATCCAAACCTCATGGAAGGCTCTGTAGTTGAACGTCTCGATTTCGGGAAGATGGGATATGGGTACTTCTCCTCCCATTTTCTAGATTCCAATTTCAATTTCATTGTTTTTACGCCTTTTCATTTTCTGGGTATTTGATTTTTATTCATTTACAGGTGCAAGCATTACAGGAGAAGATGCAGGATTCGTGCTCCCTGTTGCAATGAAGTTTACTCATGCCGTCATTGTCATAACGAAACAACGGTATTTCTTCTTCATTTCCATCGTTTTCGTTCGTTTTCATCTTAAAAATCTTGTCTTTTTGGTTTTTTCTGATCTGGGTATGTGTTATTTCTTTCATTATTAGAGCATGTTGAAAAACCCTATTGATCGCCACGAACTCGTTCGGCAGGATGTTGAACAAGTAAGGATAAGGGCACCCTTGGTTTTTGTTTTTCATGATTTATCAATTATTGTGCCATTTTACATAAGATGATGAGTCTCATGTGGTTTTTGTTTGCGTCTTGTTTTTTTTTTTTTTCAGGTTGTTTGTTCGGTTTGTGACACAGAACAGCCAGTATGTATCTATTTATTCAAAGCTTGATTTGAATAGATTGTGTTTTTTGTTTCTTTTCTGATTGTTGTTTTTGATGTTTGTTTTGAAGGTTGCTCAAGTTTGCACTAACTGTGGTATTAGAATGGGGGAATATTTCTGCAACATCTGCAGATTCTTTGATGATGATGTAATGATTTACCGAATAAATCTGTACCTTTTCATAAGATTGTTGATTAATCTTAATGGTTTTGTTTTCTATTTGATGCTTATTGGTGTTTGTTCACTCGTTCTGCAGACGGGGAAACAACAGTTTCATTGTGATGATTGTGGGATCTGCAGGTACATTAACTTTACTCGAGTAAATAGTTCCTTATGTTACCTGAATTTACGAGATGCAACTAATTTTGGTTGTGTAATCTATAATATGATAACAGAGTTGGCGGGAGTGAGAATTATTTCCATTGCCAGAAGTGCGGTATGTATTCGTCACACGGCTTTCATTTTGTCAATATTGTTGATAGCTTATCATTTGAGACCGAAGTATAAAAACACTATTTAAAATTGAATTTAATAACTCTATTTGCTGTTTAATTTCTTTTTCTGTATTAGTTAGATATTAATGATTCTCATTCTAACATATGAATTTGTCTTATCTTTTTAGCTTCCGAAATAATTTTCTTTTATTACGAATCTATTGCTTCATTTTGACAGGGTCTTGCTATTCAATAGCTCTGCGTGATAATCATTTATGCGTGGAGAACTCCATGAGACATCATTGTCCAATTTGTTACGAGGTGGATATTTTTCCTTCCTTTTCTTATATCGGGGGTTTTCATTTAAACAATAAATTCGCATGTCGTCGGAAGCATGAGAGTATTCTGATATGAATTTGTTGTGTTGTTACAGTACCTTTTTGACTCGTTGAAAGACACTACTGTTATGAAATGTGGTCACACAATGCATTGCGAATGTTATCATGAGATGATAAAGCGCGACAAGTGAGTATATCCTAACTATTCGGCAATCATTTGGTTTATTAAAACATTATATCTGCTTAAATAATTACTCGAATACGTGGCCCAGGTACTGTTGTCCTATATGTTCCAAGTCGGTGATTGATATGTCTACGATATGGAAGAGAATCGACGAAGAGGTATCTGGTTAAATTAAATCATTGCTCTCAGTTGGTTTCTAGTATGTTTTTGTTTTTTTATCAATGTTTTGAAAACCAAACCATTCGACCAGATGAAAGGTTGAACAATTTATATGGTTTGATTATTTTGACAATTCGATCACGGTTTCATTCCGGTTCTAGCGGTTTAAGTAAGTTGAACCATGCTCCACTAGTCATCTTGGTTCAATTTTCAGTTTGGTTTTTAATTTTTATGCTCCACAATTATTTGATCAAGAATAATACTTGTAGAAATGCTACAATTTAAATAATTTCTCACCGATTTATTTTTGCTATATTAGATTGAAGCAACCACCATGCCTGATGATTATCGGAATAGAAAGGTAAACCTACACTTGTAGAAATGCTTGTTTAATTCATCGGCAACTATTATAATCTACATATTTGACATGAAACATGCGTTTGAGGTTGAACAATGCTGTCAATCACGGATCCCATAAACTGGAATTTTCTTCAAATTCCGCTATGATAGAGTGCTACAGGGTTGCAATAGGCCTATAGCCACGGTCCGACTTCACTTTGTACTGAATAGTGCATTGCACAATAATAGCGATTTGTTATAATTCTGAGTATATGTCATTTAGAAGGACCTTGAGATTAACGATTTAGATAGAAACATGGTCCTAGATAGAATATTATGACAAAAGTTGATCCATGTAGCCGACCTCATTTAGTGTGATAAGGCTTGGTTGTCGTTGTATATATTATTTTTCGATTAAACAATTTGAGAAAACTAAACGGGCAAAGCATTGCAGGTTTGGATACTTTGTAACGACTGCAACGATACAACTGAAGTTTCCTTCCACATCATTGGGCATAAATGCGGTCACTGCAATTCATACAATACTCGCAATATTGCTCCTCCTGTTCTTCCGCAATAGTCAATTTCTTGCCGTTCAAGAAACAGGTCTTTCTCCAGAACACAGCTATTGTAGAGCCTCATTTAATTCATCATCAAGATTAGTGGTGTATTGTGTATACCCTTAAACTTTTCATGGGTTATTATTCTTCCTCCAACATATGGAGTTGGTGTTCGTGTCATTAGACTATTATAAACGTCGATGTATACTAACTATACCATAGGGGAAAAAGTTTACCCTTCATGAGCTTCTGGTAATTATGTTTGTATACTTTCTGTTATTGTATTGGTTGATATTGGAGGATGGATTGGGTTGTCTACATGTCTTTGCCATTGAATTTAATCTGCAAAACTCAGCAATTTCCTTTCTTGCATATAAGTCAGCCATATGTTGATGCTGCCTTCGTAGAAATTCTGTCATTGAATTGTTATGATGCTTTTTTACTATTATGTAGTGAAAGTGTTATCTACACCTTTTCTACCACTCTTTTCAACACTATACCAGTAGTTTGAAATTTATGTTGGTCTCACCATTTTAAAATGATATCAATATCTTAAATTTTGTACAATTTTTTTTTCTTTCGTGTTTAGAGCAAGCATTGAGATGGTTATACGATATTAAAGTAGCAGATTATAGGTTTCCAACAAGTCTCATAGAAGCTTATTGTAGGAACAATCAGTCTCATGATGAATTTGCTAACAAATAAAAAAGTGAGACCGACACATGAAGCTGTCAATGAGCCGGGAAGGTCAAAATCATCAAATTCTAAATAGAGTTTCTTAATGTACCCTTAATATTTAACCACTATGTGGAATTATTTAAATGTCTCTAGTTTTTGGAGATGGATCTTCAGGCATATATATTTATGAATAAACAGTGAAATATTTTGGAGATATATTTTCGAAACAATTTAAAATATTCAATACATCATACTCAAAAGTCATTTACATTTGAATTGTATCAGACCTATATTTTTGTGAATATTTTGAAGATACTTGTCTGAAATGTTTCAGAACAAGTATTTCATGTTATATGCTGAAGATACTTCTCCGATATGTTTCAGAACAAGTATTTCATGTTATATGCTGTTTATCTGTATTCATATAAAGTATCCGTACAATCGAAAATAAAAAAAATAGACGGTACATAATTGCAAGTGGACAAAAAATGCCATACAAAAATAAAATACTAATAAATGTCGAAAATGTCATGTAACCTGGATCAATAAAATAATAACACTGTCAAAATAAAGTACAGACCATAGTACTACAACTATATAATAATAAACTATTGTGTGTTTGACAACCTCTCCTCTACCTCGTCTACCTCCTCGACTATCAATCCCCTCTGTTCTCCGGCGATATTTTCGGTACAACAATGTCCCTTGTGCCTCCCCAATGATGACATCTAGGACTTGTCTGACATCAGACCCATTAAGGGAGGTACATGTGTCAATGCTTGCCTGCACAATCTCCACTATGCGACGACACTTAGGCAAGAAATCATCAGTATGATCTAACTGTGTCTGCTCCTCCTCTAGTATCTCTTGATGAGTTGATCTTGAAGGATCTGTTGAAGCAACATGTACCATGTACGGATGTGACACCCTGAAGAACCATCTGATGTACCCTTTGACGTAGCTTCAATCGCTCTAAACTATGGTAGTTCGTGCCTCCTCCGATACCAGATGACTCTCATAATCATCAAACATGTCCTCTATCTATCTACGTGTTAAGGCAGGAGGAGCAGAGACAACAGGGTGTCTGGGAATGGTTTGAGAGTAGCTGAGCTGCCGCATGACGCGTTCAGGTAGATGAGGAGCAGTGAGACTCCATCCGCAGGTCAACCATCAGCCTCCCGTGCTCTAAGGATCTCAACATCATATATCGTCTTCAAAAATTCAAATATAGTATGAGCACCTCTGGTCTTATCTACCCCCTTCTTCGCCTCCCTTGGATAAACCCCAAGGTACTCTACCATTATCTAGAGTGCCTCGTCTTTGGTAATTCTCTCATGAACTAGGAATCTCCCCCTGATCGAAATATGTAGCAAATACGAGACATCGTTGAGTGTGATAGACATCTCACCATGCAAGAGGTAAAACGACGAGGTCTCCGAGTGCCATCTCTCCACGAATGCATTAAGCATCCCGTGGTTGACCATAGTGTAACCAGTCATGCACAGGTCCTTCAGGCCAGATAAGAACATAACCGATTGAAACCAATCCTCATCCTGCTGAGACAAGGCAACAATCTTCCTCCCGTGGTTAAAAAACTTATGGGGATCACGCTCCTGAAATTTGTCAAGAATAATCAATGTCAAAAATTAAAATTTAACGTAAAAATAAATAAATAATCCAACTAATGCTACCTCTTCGTCTCATATATGTCTGGAAGTATGGTATGGATGCATAGGCAGTAAGGACAAATCAACTGGACCTCCTCCAAAAGCCTCTGACTCAGCATCCGCAACATCCTCACCCTCCGGAAATGACACTAGATCAACAACATCATTAGTAGGAAGTGGGACTAGATCAACATCATCATTCGTAGGAGGTGGCACTGGTGAAACCTGACACCTGTGAGAGGATGGGGGAAGTGATGCGGTAAACCCCGTCTCCTACGGGAAAAAGAAGATGGAGTGGCCCGAGGAGAAGCACGTGACCTATAAGTAAACGACTCTGCTTGACTAGAGGGATCTAGAGCCCCTGGAACCTGTTGACTCTGTCGAACGGATGTGTGCTGAGTAACCCTGTCATGCCTCAGTCTATCATGTCTATCCACTATTATGATTGTAAGTTAAATTAAGGCAAACCATTAGTGCAGACAAACAACACACAAGGAAGAAAATAAAAAAATTACTGCAACAAATTCCAGTGATGCATCTCCGGATTTGGAGGAAACTAAAACGTTGAAAAATTTCGGAGACGCATCTCCAGAATTTTATGCAACTCAAAAGTTGCATCAATGACGTAATGTACCACATGCAAGCTCAAGAAAAATTATTTTGATCATCATTTTTAGCCAACCAATAACTAATATACTATGTCTAAACTATCTTAAACGTTATTTCTACTCATTTCAAACTCTAATAATTCATTTCTACTCATTTTCACCAAAACTCAAATATTTATCGGAAACTAAAAAAACTTACAAGAAATTAATGTTTTTGATGAAGTTGGATGATATTACAAATGAAGATTGATGTTCCCTTGAGCTTTGTTGAATAAAATTTGACTTGGTGTAGAGAAGAAATTTGAGAGAGGTTGAGCTGAGTTTGAGTAAAATGAAAAATGTGGAAGGAGAAAAGTCTGTCGTGACTTAACCTCTAAAATATTTTGGAGATGCATCTCCGAAATATTTTAACGTTAACTGACCTTTTGGTGTGTCCAGAGATGCATCTCTAGAAACAGGGGGCATTTGTGGAAATTTGCGTGGTGCAGTAGAAATATAGAGGATGCGTTAAAAATCAACATAAAAGTATCTAAGTTTGAAGGGTCACAATATGATAAACTCATAGAGATGGCACATAAAAAGGGTACAAAGTAAATTTTTTTGGGGATTTCTTATCCCATTCTATTGGATGGAAAAACATCCTATAGAAGACTTAAAATTTCCCTCAAATTTCGGAGATGCATCTCCGGACGCATATTGCCTTAAGTAAAAACATTACAACTGATTTGAAGATCTATCTCCCAACACACTTTATCTTAATTCAAAATGTTACAACTAATATGGAGATGCATCTCTGAAATATTTCAAGCACACCTCATGCATCCCTCTCTAAAGCCCATTTTAAACATTTATTGATCCGAAGATGCATCTCTATTTAGGGTTTACGAAGATGCATCTCTGTAACCTATCAAAACAGTTTGAATTAAGTTACTTTTATGGTTACTCATATGAAAATGACTATTTATAAATGTTAAGACTCATATTATATGATGAGAATTAAATCATACAACCGATATGTAAAAATGACATATATAAATCCGGAGTCAAAATAAGTCATAATGACATACAAAATAAAGTCGAAATAAGTAAAAATAAAAAAAACTGAACATAAATCGAAACTACAAATACTATCAACTACTGCGTATGTTAGAGCCCCTCGAACTCCTCGGCCCCCTCTATCCCTTGTCCTCTGACGCTGTCTTCGGTACATCAGTGCATCTGTCATAATTGCATTTAAGACCTCCCTCACCTAAGAAGCATCAGGAAAGATACCTCTATAAATGCCTGCCTATGCAATCCCCATAATACAACAACATTTAGGCAACTCATCATGAGCATGACCTAGCCTCCATTCCTCCTCTAACATCTTCTGATGAAATGGCCTCGATGGATCTCCTATAGCAGCCTACACCATATATGGATGTGACACCCTGAAGAACCACCTGATGTACCCGTCTAGATAGCTCTAGTCACTCACATCTATGGTACTTTGTGTCTCATCCGGTACCAATTGACTAAAATCATCATCAAACATGACATCCATATCTCTACGTGTCATAACGGAAGGAGTAGAGATATCAAGGTGTCTGAAAATAGTTTGGATGTAGCTGAAATTCTATATGCGCTCAGAACGATAAGAAAATGTCAGACGTGAGTCACAAGTCAACCATATTGAGTATAACACTATGTCGTCGAATGACTGCGTCTCATGGTGCTCGACATAAGAGTTAAAGTGCATATCCTCTTCTAGCAAGCAATCAAGATACAGTCGAAAAGGCTCTGTCTCCTGGTTCACTCTGAGCGGGGAAAATTTAAAAGCACACCATATATCCTCAGTATAGGTCGGTACACATAACCAACTAGAGATGCGTGGGAAGTGTTAGAGGATCCAAGCTTGAAAAGTGTTGGAACACACAAATCATTAGTAAGGGCGTTGCAAAAATTTAATGAAAATGACAGATAAGCACTAAAAGAATAACAAATATTATCGTCAAAAGTGTGATCCTGTCTGTCTCCTACTTCGCCTTCGACCTACAACCCTCAGATAACTTATAGTACAAGAAGACC